ACATAGGTCATGATTTCTCTTCACTAACTCCCATCAAATCACATATGTCATGATTTATCTTCACTTACCCCCATCAAATCACATATGTCATCCTACCAAATCCTAACCTACCATTTGTACTTTTGTCTCATCTCTTAAGTTTCCTTTGAATCAGATAAAAATCATACTGACTGTAAGGAAGTACTTAGCCGAGAGGAAATTCTAGTTTCTGACGGTTCTTTTTCTACTGCTTATTTACAGTTCAATGTTCAATCCTCGACTGCTTCGATATCACATTACATTCTTACTCGCGTAATGTCTTGAACTGTTTCAAGTCTTGAAATTAATTCTATACTGAACAAATTCTAAATTTAACTTTCTGTATTAAATCCCGGGAATGACGATGTTTCTGACGGTGTCAACTCCCGAGCTCACATTGCACCCTTCTACTATGGGTATTTTTCTTGTGACTTTAACCTAACTATCTGGCAATTAAGGATTTTCTTCTCTTTAAAATGTAAGTGCATTTTTTTTATACGCTGCTAACATCATGCTGTGTTTGGAGATTCTTGAAATTAAGATTCTCAAACTATACTTGTACTAAAAATTATTCTGCCTTAAAGTACGGCGAGAATTTATCGATCGAATTTACTCGATCGAAAACATGATCTTAACATGAAATCTGCTACAGAATTTAGGAATACATATATTAATTCCATAAATCATTCATTTACAATATAACATAATATTTTCTAGGAAAATCCTTAGCTTAAATACATAAATTGTATTATTTAAGGTCTGAGATTTTCTCAGTCATTACACTGACGCCTAGTATATCCCGACCAGCAGCCACCGTCGCCGTCGCAGTTTGGCCGAAAAACGAAGCCACTACCATCGTCCGTGGAGGAAAGAGGTGGTTCCGACGATCTAACCGTTGGATCGTAGTAAATTTGGTTTCACAACACTCAGAAGGAAACGGGTAAGAAAACCCCTCATCCAATTTTAAGAATTCATGACCGGAATTGTGAGATTTGAGTCGCCAGATTTTACCGACGTTGCCGGTCCCGATAGGTACTGTTACAGGCCGAATGGTGTGAAATTGACCGCACCAATGGACTCAGAAGGGTTAAGTTATGGGGGGTAGGACCCAAGTCCACCGCGGAAAAACTCTCCGGGAGCGTCCGCCGCCGCCGTATTCCGGTGAGCTGTCGTTTCTTAGGCTATCGACATCCGTTTGATGATCCGAGACCATATCCTGACTCGTTTCAACGTGCCGAACGAAATGGTGACATCCATTCAACCAAATTCAATTCTGATAAGAATGGTCTGGTACTAGTTGCACGCGGATCGAGGTGGTTCGGACCAAACAAGTGAAGATCAAAATCGAGTGTTTAAAGTTACGATGTTCCTCAAGGATCATTCATGGTGCTTGCAGCTTTTCCCAAAATTAATTTTGAGGAATACGCAGGAGGACACGACAAGCGAGATACTATCATAACCGCTTAGCTCGGAATCCAGGCAAGTACAAACCTTGCTTACAGTTTAATTAAGATAGTCATATAAGGCGTATGATTTTCACGAAATACGTTAATTATGAGATTCGTGAATTAGGTTCATGTTTATGTTAAACGTCATATATAGTTTTCCAATAAAACTTAACAGTTTTTAAATAAGCATGTAAGCGAAAATCGTAAAGAAACGATACGCTAGACCCTTAATTTTACGACGGTAAATATGAACCTCAACACTATTATGAGCCCGTCAAGTGAGGTAAAGTAAAGTTTATTAAAAGTGTATTATGGATGATAATTTAATTAATTATTAAAACTAATTAATTAAATTATCTAAGACTTAGAATATGGTTAAGGAAGTTAATTAATTACTAAGATTAATTAACTCACTTATGTATACTTAGTATATGAATAAGAGGGTTAATTAATTACAAAAATTAGTTAACTAAATTATTAGACTTATTATAAGGATAAGATGATTAATGAATTATCAATTTAGCACAAATTTGTAATGACAATTAAGGAAAATAAGATTTTGAGGATTTAATAAATTGATCCTTATAGTAAAGAAAAGGGTTAGATTCCTTCATAAGTTGCTAAAATAGAATAACAAACGACAGTTAATCTCACACTCTCAATGGGTGTTCATTTTCAGAAGTAAGCAAGTAAGAGAATAAACTGTTTGGTAAAAAGTGGATTCCAGCTCTGTAAATCAGGTAAGTAGGAATCTCGCCTACAGTATGAATAGATTTTAAAGAAAAAGTTACACATGTTATATATGCATGTTTATGCTTTAAGTATTGTATGTGATGCTATGTCATGCTGCATACACATAAACAGCGCACAGAGTTAATTTAATATTATGTATACTATGCTAGATCATACTGCATACACTTAAACAGTGCACATGAAGTATA